CAACTTAGTTATAGATCTTGTTTTATGTAAGGGAGGATATTGTTCTGCTTTTATTTCCATGTGTAGGATATGCATGCAAATGTTAAAACATATACTGTACACAAAGAAAAGCCATAGATTGCTGAAGAATATGTTCTGAACTCAGACAAATGGGAATGTATTTTTTGTGAAGTGGGCTTGACTCAGTAGAACATATTGTTAATTTATACCACTAATGTGAAGTGCAGTACATGCATCATTTCAGCACACAGTACTTAACTCTGCACACTTAACTCTGATATATGATTCTGATTACTTGTAATACTCTTTAACAGTGAAATAATGGCAAAATGCTTAGAAAGCCAGATCAGGATATAACTTGTGCCTACTGAACTTTATAAGGTACATAACTCTTTTTAAAAATGATATTTGATTGTAATATCTATAGAGAATCACAACAAATAATGCTGATATAACAAGATTTTGCTATATAATGTCTGATCTATATTGTGGCTTAGTACATGCCATTTTCAGTAGTAATCTTCTGACATATATAAAAATAAATTTGTAACCTGTTTACATTGTAGGAGGCTTTTTTCTTCTTCAGCATGTACACTTTCTGTGTTAGACACACGTCTGCAGTCCTAGAACTATATCTTTCAAAGTTAAAGGAGTTTTAAGTTAGAAATTTATTTTTCTGACTTGTTGGCTGCATTCTGTAATGTTGGCTGACTTGTTGACTGCATTCTTTAAAGGTGTATCATTGTAACAATCAGCCACAGTAAGCCTTGAGAACAGGGTTCTCCTCCCATCTCCCCTACTGGTGCAGTTGTGAGGACAAGATTAGATGCTTTTGCTTCCAAGTTAGATTAACCACAGTTTAGCTCAGTACCTGGACCCTAAACTGTTATTATGCTTAACTATGGCTTGTTAAAACAAGATGGCTTTGGGTTATATAAAATTGGCTTGTTTCTACAAAGTATAATTAAGATTAAACTAGAAGGCTCAAATGATAGCTAGATATTGGCTGGTCTCAAAATCTTCCCCTTGTGAACATATGAGAGGACAGGAAAGTCTAACGTTTATAGCTTGCTTTTTCTTGTAAAGCTATCCCATGGTTCAGTGTTATATCAAAGCAGTTATATAATTCAGAAACTCTGAAACTAATAGACAATATAGGAAGAAACCCCTCACCCCTTATTAGGAATGATGTACAACTGCAGCGGTAGATAGCATTAAGATTTGAATAAACCATGAAGAAAGCTTAAACATTACAATTTTTTCAAACCAGAATCAATTTCAGTCATCTAATGAACCTTGGCCATAAAAATAAACTGTGAAAAATGATCAAAATATTGAATGCTATGGTCACTTGTCCAAACATACATATCTGAATGTTCACTATCAAACTATCTATCAGTTGTTAAACTGGTATATACTGTATATTTTGAAGAACGCTGAGATGTAATTTTCTGTTGTTACAGCCCTCGTAACACTTATTTTAAGGACACAGATTTTACATACAGTATTTACTTTCCTCTTTAATGTTCATCAGCAGCTGTTTCAAGTCTTTGCTGTTTTCTGCCAATAATATAGTGTCATCTGCATATGTTAAATCATGTATGCTTCTATTAATTTTAATTCCTCCTACTGAATCAAATTAATTCTGACACCCTTCTGTTTCTCCATATTCTGTCATTAAAGTGGCCTCTTGTTCAGAGTACAGCTCATTCACCAGGACGATAAGAAGATATGACACACTCCTTTCTTTCAAAACAGTCTACAAATTTTCGTGATCTTCATACACAGGACACAAACTGATTTTCTTCTGAAATTCTCTGGCACACTTCAATAGGCAACATATATTTGAAAAATAATCTCTGATGCCTCTTCCTTTTCTGAATCTAGCTTAAATAATTTGTATTTCTTGCTGTGTATATGATGAGAGTGTTTGTTGTAAAGTCTTGAGCATCACTTTGTTTTGCATGGGAAGTTAATGCAATTGGTCCTATAATTAATTCAATCAATGTAAATAATATACATTTGGGAAAATTAAAATGTTTGCATGTAAACTAGTCTGTGTACAGCGTTCTAATTATCACAACCTTTCAAAAGCAGAAACTGTAAATACAACATTATCTCCCTGCCAATTTCTTTAAAAGAAAACACAACTTTTAATTTTCAAGCTGTGTAGAGGAACTTACTCAACATAGCCACCAGGTGGCAAAAAGTCACAAACATTTCTAGACAATTCTCAAACGCTCCCTGAAGAACCAAGCATACAAAATAAGGCTGAAATCCTTTATGCACCGCTCAGAGAAAATACATTTTACTGAATTCAGTGGGACTTACTTCCAAGTATAGGCATACAAGATTACAATATAAGCATATTATTTTCTTAAAATGCTGGATTTAAGAGTAATTCTGCTATGAGGATGGGACCCTGTACATCATTTAACACTTGACCATTTAAGGTAAACAAAAAGCCAATCCAGTAACTGCTAATGCTGAATTCTTTGAATAAATGTGGATATGCACAGGCAAGTTAGATATAAGATCCTGCAGCAACAGCACACAAATCATGGACAGGATTATAAGAAAGGTAGAGCTGTTGGCTTGAGCAATCCCTGTTGTTCTGGTTACCATCTTCCTTGATGAAAAGTTCTGGAAAAGTCAAAATTTATTCTGTATTACACTGTGACTTTGCAAAGCATTGTCCTAATACAGATTACCTGTGATGTAGTGTTACTGAGTTCTAATGGTGCAGTCTTATGCACCATTACCTACATGGAAGTCTCAGAGCACAGAAGTACACGACCAGCTAGCAAGACTTCTATGTACAACTCAAGCTACAGCTAGAACTCAGTCTCAAACACCATAACATATTTGCTTAGAAAGAAGTTCCCAAACTATTTGGGAATTAATTCTTTCTGAATCCATTTCCTAAGGCAACTCAGTAATCTTATATCAAAATACTCTCAATTCAATGTTAATAAGATTCAGTCATATAAAGTTTAGAAACTGAATGTCAAGCAACTAAAGGTACCCTGAGCTAGGGCTTAGTGGTGCGTTGTGACTTAGGAGATCAATGGTTTAAGCAGTGGTTCTTAACCTTTGGTTACTCAGGAGTTTTGGACTGCAACTCCCAGAAGCCTTCACCACCAGCTGTCCTGACTGGGGTTTCTGGGAGTTGCAGTTCAAAAGCATCCGAGTAACAAAGGTTAAGAACCACTGGTTTAAAGCCTCAATGAGCCATGACACACACTCCTTGGGCTACTTACACTTTCAACCTGACCTAAGGATAAAGCAGGAAAGAAGAAAACTCTAGGGAGGCAGGATGTAAGTATTATTTAGCGAACAAAATGGATAAAGTTATATAAAAGAATTAACCTCATGAGAAAAAGCTCCACTAATTAATCCAAATAAGGCTTTTGATTACAATATAGGCAGTGTGAGACAATATGTTTCCAATAAGTCTTGATCTTGTTGTTGTTTAATCGTTTAGTTCTGTCCAACTCTTCATGAACCCATGGACCAGAGCACACCAGGCCCTCCTGTCTTCCACTGCCTCCCGGAGTTTGGTCAAATTCATGCTAGTAGCTTCGATGACACCGTCCAACCACCTCATCCTTTGTTGTCCCCTTCTCCTCTTGCCTTCACACTTTCGCAACATCAGGGTCTTTTCCAGGGAGTCTTCTCATGAGATGGCCAAAGTATTGGAGCCTCAGCTTCAGGATCTGT